AGCATTTTCACCCTGCTTTTTGGAATGTCCTAAGTCTGAGATGCAGGATCGCATTTTATCGTCGCGCTGAACTTGCAAAATATTGCCAGTGTGAAGATCGGCGTGTACATAATTTGCCCTATGAATTTGCTGTAAATCAGCAGCAATATCTTGCAGTAGTCCTAATTTAGTTTCCCAACTAAGATCCCAAAATTTTTCTCCTAAAATCTTATGGAGACTGCCCTTATTGGCATATTGAAATACTATAAAATACTCATTTGTATTTTTATTTTTTGTCAGCCCATATATTTCAAGGCCAGTACCCCCAATTCTACACTCCAAATGAGTGTAAAACTTTGTAAATTTATATAAATGAATTAGTTCAACATATTTTTAATAAATTGCATAGTAAGTTATGATTTAACTTACTTCTTTTAAAAAATCAAGAGGATTTTCTCCGGAACTGGACAAGGTCTTGAGTGCCACGATGCTAGATTGTTCACGCGTTCTTTTATTCCGATCGATCTTTCTTATACCATCCAACCAGATTGCAGAAAATACTGATGCAAATCCTCCTTTGCCGATGATTTTAATATCAGCCAGCCTATCAAACGAAATCCACTCAACAATATTTTCATACATGTTGGTGGTAAGCTGGATTTCCTTGAGGTAGTTGTCAATATCTATATTTTCACTTGCCCATTCCTGACTTGTTAAATCAGGATCGCATGTTTGACACCAAGCTTCATGCGTATTATATTCTTTACAGTACGCACACTTTCCATATTCTGAAGATCTATAAAAGTAAATTATATTAGCATTTTTTGGTATAAAATTTCAATCAAAATAATTATATTTACCGACTAAATTAACATAAATTAAAATAATTAAAATAGGAATAATATTGTTTAGTGAATATCTTATTTTAAAAATTAAAGATGCATTTCTACTTTAAATACATGGAATAATTCAGTAACCAATGATCTTTATACTCACTCACTACGAAAATTATGCATAATGGTAAATGTTTACGAATCTATTTAATATGTATCGATCAACACAATAATTATAACTATACTCACAGACTAAATTAACGCGAATAAAATAATTTTAAATGAGAGGTGTCGTTCACTGATAAATATTTCTAAACTCAAATACATGGATTATTTTAAATTCATAATAAATTATCTTTATACTCACTCGCTAAATTAACGCAAATAATAAATAGTTGTAAACTTAAAAAGTACTTATTGTAATCCATCTATTAATAAATGATCTTTACTTACTAGCTACGGTAAATCAATGTGGATAATTAAATCAGAGGTAAATATTTATGAACTTAAACACGGCCTTTTAATTGAAATTTATACTTACTAGCTACAATAAATGAATATGAATAAAGTAATGTAATGATAAAGATCTATAACTTTATAATACGATTTTTGTTTTAAATATGTCAATTAATACTCACCGACTAAATTAATACGAACAAAGTGAAATTAAATGAGGGATATATTCATGAACTCGAATTGCTTAATTAAATACATTGATTTATAAATGACTTTATACAAACCTCCTGAATTGATGCGAAGTAAAATTTTAAAGAGTGGTAAATTGCTGAATTCAGATTGCTTAATAATTGATTATACTTACTCACTAAAAGATTAAATTTTTTTGAGAATATTTATATTTCTAATTTTAAATTAAAAACCAGCACAAAAAAAATAACTTACTCTTGAAGCCAATAACGGAATTTGGCATAGTCCTCTTTTGTACCAATGCCATATCTGTAACTGATGGCAGTTTTAAATATTCCTTTAGCATTTCCCTTCTTGGCTGACCTCAGATAATGGATAAATGCTTTATGCTTATCCATTCCAACTCCAATTCCTAAATCATAACACTGACCAACTTTAAACATTGAGTCAGAGTTATTCATTTCTGCAGATTTTTGATAATTAATGAATGCCTTATATTTATCCTGTTCGACGCCGCCGATGCCATGTTCGTAACGATATCCAAGCAAGAATATCGGTTCATTCATATCTACAGATTTGACAATAAAATCCAATTTTAATTGAAAGTATCAGTGATTTGAATAATAATTACTTGATGAGTTGGTTGTTATACAAAGTGGCATACTTGACATGCAAGAAAAATAAGGTACATGCATGACTTGATTTTACGATTCAAACCTTAATCGATTATAATTTTTGTAATAGGGTGATGATCGCTTCTAGAAAAGACAAATAACTTGTTTTATCGACTTTCACTTTCAAATAACCCGTATTCAAATAAAGCAGACCGGCTGTTCTGTTTCTTATGTAAAAATTATTCAAAACTTTTCTCTGAAATAAAGCTTTAAAAGTATGTTAAAAAATAATGTTGGTGATGATGCTGAAACTTTGATTTATTTTAATATGAAATTTTAAATTTGGGGGACTTTTTTTAGCTTTTATTTTGTATTAGGTTAGGGTTTAGGGTTAGTGTTTATAATAAAAAGGTATAGCGGAAAAGTTCAAATCAATGCACAACCACATAATAGCTCAGTCGTAAGCATAATTGTACAAATGCAAAGGGTACAGTACAACATATCGACGGGTACAAAAGATAAAGCTAAAGAGATCTAAAAGGGATCTAAAAAGGGTTCAATCGAAAGGTACCAAGAACTCTCTAGAGACCTATCGATCAATGACCCTTTATATTGTTCCGTTACCCCTCTAATTTGTAGGAAAAACATAATGTAATCATATAGTAATTGTCATTACTAATACGTAGTAAATGTATTCGCAAGAAAAATGTAATGATAAAAATCTATTACGAATAGGGTTGAATAGGTCCTGAGAAGACCGGTCTTTTTGACCAGTTATGTGATCTTCGGTTTTCAGTCTTTTAACAGTCCGGTTAATAGGTTAATAATAAACTATTAAAAACTATTAAATTAAAATGGTTAATAAAAAAAAAAAAACTATAAACTTTTAAATAGTTAAAAAACCATTATTGCATGAATACTCACATGAAGATAGCTTACTTTTGAGACTGGCGACCGGACTGAACTGGACACGATACTATTGGGACCGGTCTTATTAAAGACCGAGACGGACTGGGCCGACTGATCCGAAAAATATCGTAACAACTGCCAGGAGCGGCCGTTCTCCACGAACTAGTATGCTCCAACAGGAGGAACTGTAAATGTTGTACAACTAATTCATCACCTGGTGCACGGTTCATATAAAATAATTATTTTACAATATTGGATCACTCTGCTCAATATTATAGATATAATCCTTTACCTGTTGGATTAGTTGTGCAACATTGACGGTTCCTCCTGTTGTATGCTCCTAAAAAAAAGTTACGTCACTGGGTTTGAATTTAAAATGCAACTAAACGCGTCTAATTTCTTGTAGTTGATATTAGAAATCTTTGCCAGAAGTAACTTTTATCCTTATGTTAACACCTTTATAATACAGGGTATTTCACTATGTTATGATAAGTTGATTGGATCTTTGTTTCTTTTTCTCACAAATTATCTTATTTTTTACATTATGGCGCCTATAATTTTAAAAGAATCTTTATTTAAAGTAATCTAATTTTTGAACCAATTTTATTTTTCAAGGGTATAATTTAAGCTGATCAGTTAAAACCTCAATTTAATTAAACATCTGGAAAAAATTTGTTGTTAATATATGAATTAGATGATAAAGTATTATTGTCAGAGTACATTTTGAGATATTCTCTTGGCGGCTATGTATTCTTTTGATTATTCAAGACTAATTGTTGAATTTGGTACAAATCAATAAATTCAATATCATGCTCTTTGGACTTTGCAATGCCTCTGCAACTTTCCAACAATTAATAGACTGAGTTTATGACAAAATTGTATAGAGATTCATAGTAGTATACTTAAACGATACTATTGTATTCTCCAAGACCTTTAATAAATATTTGCAACACCTCTGTGAAGTCTTTACTAGGATCAGACGTGTCGGATTATGATTGAACATTGAGAAATATAAATTTCAAATGCAAAGGTTATCATTTCTAGAACACATCATATCATTTAAAGGAATTGCTCCAGACCCAGAGAAAATCGAAGCTGTTCAACAAATTCTACCTCTTAAGAATGTAACTCAACTATGATCTTTTCTAGGACTAGTAGGATACTATAGACAATTTATTTGCAACTTTTTTGCAATTGCAAAATCCTTAAACCAGCTGCTACAAAAAGATGATCCCTATAAGTAGACCGAAGCTCAACATGAAGCTTTTATTAAGCTTAAACAAAGACTTACTAGTCTTCTATACTTTGATATCCAGATTTTCATAAAGTATTTATACTAGCAACTAATGCTTCTTATTATGGATTTGGTATTACTCTTAGACAACTCAATAGTTATAACAAGGAACATCCTGTAGCTTATGCTAGTAAAAGTCTAAAGAAAGAAGAAATAAACTATGGTGCTACTGAACTGAAATGTGTCACAATAGTATAGGTCATTGAGCATTTTCATAAATATCTTAGAGCTACTAAGTTTATTTTAATTACTGATCACTACACTTTTAAATAGCTACATACTGCTAAACCTAAAAGAAGATTAGAACACTAGTTACTCAAGTTACAACCCTATAACTTTGAGATTATTCATAAACTTGGACAAATCTATTCTAATGCTGATACTCTTTATTGACTTTGAACTCAGACCAAAGAACTCAAGTTATTATAAATTTAGACCAATATCATTAATTATACTAGTATCTAAATACAGACACTATTCTAAAAGACTTTACTAAGAATCAGAAAAAAAATTAATTAACCAAGCCTGATATTTCAAAATTAGATACCACTTACTTTATAAAAGAATAGAAAGGACCCAGACAAACTTAGTGCTTCTATGAACCAAACTCAAATCAGACTTTAGTCAAGTTTAAGTCTGGTCTAATTTTTGAACCAGACTCAGACTTTTATATTCAAACTTTTTAATCAAGTCTGAGTTTGGTCTGGGTCTGGTCCGAAGTCTGCAGACTAGTCTGAGTTCAAATACTTAGGCATAGCTATTGTTACTCAGGTAGCCCGCACTTGATAAAAATTGGCCAAATGATTTTTCAGATAATTCGATTAAGTTATTGATTTTGGCAATGATCGGTATATATTTTTACATACAAGATAATTTTATCATTATAATGCTGTTGCACTAAAATCAAGAATGTAGTCAATATTATTTAGGATTATAAATGCCAATTCTTACATTAAATTAGATTTAGCATTATAGCTTAATCTTGAATATTTCTTTATTTATTTTGTTATA